ACGATCGAGAAGAGTCTACTCGGACGCGAATGGGGGAGCGACAGAGAATCATCCAAAGCGATCCCTCCCGCGGAAGGAAAAGAAATTTAATGCGGTGGAAGGCCATGATACTGCCGTAGGCGCGCGAAGTCCGAGAGAACCCGAATGTACCCATAGCCGGAGCACGGAGATGAGGTGATTATGGGTAATGGGTATGGGTATGCATGGTTCATATTCATTCCGTGCCCACAATGGCGCAGGGGTCCTCAGACTCCCCTTCTTGCCCGTCTTCTTGGCATCAGGCCTCCATTCTGATGGCGTCGGGTGTCTTCCCTTGCAGAAAACTGAGTTCAAGATAGTCGAGAGTCGTAATCCCCCATCGAAATTGCGGTGTTGGAAGCATTTAATATGAGTGGCCCCGCCCTCCATGCCGTCGAGTTCGCGGGCGGAGTCGGATTCTTGTGATGCTCATTTCCTGGAGGGTTCTTGATGTTGATCTCCGTCGGAGCTCTCCAGGTTGGAGATGGGACGCCGGAACGGAGCGTTCGAAAGTTATGCTTTGCATAATACTTTCATCGACTTCGGAAATGTCAGATCAATTTTCGTTCTACCGACGCCGACGGTGGTTTTAATCTTGGGATCATTCGCGAATATGAGGCTGAACTTCCTTCATGAGTTCTCGCTCGATTGTCTAGGAATCTTTGGGGCAATGTTCCTGTTGGCCCGATGATTTCTCCTGACCAAGTTTCGCTATCATATCCTGGCGAAGAAGCCTAAGAGAAGTGTCGACTCAGTCTTGAGTATGTATGAATCACTGAAATCGATCGCAAGCATTTGCTCTAGTCTCGAATGTCTTGGAATCTTCGGGGAAAGCTCCGGGTTAGCCCGGATAGTCATCCGGGAGATGTTTCGGTACCGCATTCTCGCCATAAGTTCCGCGAGGAACGTCGACTCAGTCCAAGACATTGGTGGATAATTGAAATCGATCAAAAGCCTCTCGTTGACTCCTGATTGTCCTGTGGTTTTCAGGGATTGTTCGTCTAGATCCGGAGAATCGACTTGGAGATGATCTGGTCCCGTATTTTCCTCACAGAGTCGACCGTCAATGTCGACTCGAAATCAGTCTGATGCATGGATGAACCATGCCGAGCGACCGTGGGCTCTGAACCGAACGTCTAGCCTTATCCTCGGCAAGAAGTTTACGTGAAAAATGAACTGTGCAAAGCATAATACAAGCATCAATCAGTGAAAGCGATTGGACACAATCGGGCTGCGCATAGGATTGTTCCCCTCGACCTGAACAATCAGCTCCGTCTAGTTTCAGCTCTTGATCCTTGGCCAGGGATGAGAGAACAGAAGTGATCGAAGAATTGACCACCTACGCAATCCGCAGTCGACAGGAACGGGATTCGGAGTCCTATGCCCGAGGAAATCGACAGGATTGCTTCTATCGACCTCAGGGTCCATTGATTGATAGATTCCATCCATCCATCCATGCATCCAGGACCATCATATCCTCCTGTGACAGCGACAGGGGAACTTCTCGACATGTCGACGCTCAGGGTCAAGTGAACCACCCTTGATTGCGTCGGCTGTCATCCGTCAGCAACTGATGAATCCAGGCGCTTCCCCAGAGGAGACCCCTCAGGGAATTGATCAAGAAGATTCTGAGAGGCGGGAGGTTTTTCAGTGTTCCAGAGTTTCACCAACCCAGCGACCCAGGCTCCATTAGTCATTGAGGAGTGGGTGAGCCGAAAAGCGACTTGCTCAGCTCTGGCATTCAAATTTTTGCGCCCCCACCGGCGGCCAAAAGTGGCGGGGGCTCAGCTCGATGTCTCTCAGCTCTCTTAGCAGGTGCGCTGCTGGAATAACGAGAAGAGACCAACTGCCGCTGGGCCTTCAGATTTCGAGAATTCAGCGTCAAAGGCGCATTCCTGATGATTGCAGATACGTTCGAACAGTCTCGAGATATTCCCTAGCGTACCCATCGTCATTCTATGCCTGCGGAAAAGGGAAACAATCATGGAGGATGATGAATGATGAATACTAGATAGAACGGGGTTACATTCCGTCCGTGAGTCCGTGGTCCGTGGGCAGTCGAGAAGCCGCCACCACGCGTGGCTCCGAAACGAACCACACGAGCGGCGAATGACACGTGTTTGAATGTTCGCGCGATGGTAGCACACTGTGACGTCACATCCGCTCCAGTCTCTCCGTTTATTGTAGCGTTGCTCTCTTGGCGCCATCTTGGATAAATTATTGTGTGTTCTTCGCTAGTGGTCGGAGCCCGACCGATACGCCGCTAAATCAATCCACTCAAATCGGGCTTTACACTGTGGATTTTGTAAATATATTCAAACGAGTTCAGATCCCGACTGTTTCTTCGTCCGAGGTAAGCACAAATTTGTGTTCTTTGCGACGCACGGATGAGTCAGAAGTCGGAAGGTTTTCCCGCACTCGTCGTTCGGATACCTCGGAATTCCTGCGAAATTCCGCCCAAAAATCTCGCCACCTTGCGTGCATCAGGGCGTTTGTGACCCTTACGTAGGAATTCGCCGTGGAGAGCGAACGAAAAGCGTCTTGGTGATCTCATTGGCGTCATGTAGGCCTAAACCCTGTGTTGGAGTGACCGGCTTATTCAGAAACTGTGCGGAGTTATCCGGCTCCACCAATCGGTTCCATTCGGTAGGGATCGCTCCTAAACCTAGAAAAGTGTTCGCCGCTCGGATATTCGTTGGGAATTTTCTAGAGAAAGTCGCAGAGACGCATCAAGTTGACTGACCCCCTCTGAAAACAACGTTCGACGTAGCGGACGCAGTGCCAGTGCTCCTAGCTCGGATATTGTTCTACCTAGCAAGATCGAACATCGAAGCAACGGTCTATCTCGCCGTAGAGTGAGCGGTGAGCAGCTATTGTACGTCGACGCATCGGCGAGTAAGCCGAAGTTCTGTGGTGAATTTCGATACCTTCCGATGATCTTCGTGTGACTGCTACGGCAGCGGTGGTGTCATTGGCAGTGCTTGTGCGCTTCCGACGACGGAGTTGGTCTCTCAATCGCTACGTTTATCCGTCGCTATTCGATGAGTGTTCCTTGCATCGTCGGTCGTTTACACTCTGGCGTGAGTCTATCGCGCAAGAATTGTGTTCTCTCGGCGCCCAGAGACGATTCGATGCCCGGCTAATGGCAGGGAATGGCTCACTGGTTGGCCGGTCGGTGGCTCGCGCCAGCTAGTTACTCGGCTGGCTTGTTCGCTCGCTTATTTGTCTGTCACTGATCCGTCGCCGACGGCGTCGCCGTCGTGGACAAATGTGCGCTGTCGCATTTGCCAAACCCTCTGGCTACCCATTCGTATTCCATTGTCGTCGTCGTCGGCGGCGTCGAGGTGCCGCACCGACCCGTTACGCGCTGCCCAGACCGTACTACTGCGAACTTTCCAACCAGCGCGACGGCGATTCCTCTAAGCTTCGACGGGCATGCCTTCCACGTCCCGTAAGAACGAACGTCTGCCGAACGTGTGACGTTGCTGCTGAGGATGCCGTTCATCGCCTGGTTCCGCTCTCTTTGTTATCGGCTCTGAATGCAGCTCTATCGAGTTTCATATTTTCTTCATACTCCTGAATTCGAGCTCTCCGGATTGGAATCGCCTCGGAGGCGGTGGCGACGACTGATCCGACGTCCGGTAATCTAGTCCACAACCTGTACCAACGTTTATCCGTCATCCCGTCCGTCCATCCATCGATTTCTTCCTGAATTCTCACCAATAAAAAGAGATCCATCCATCCATTCATTCCTTGGATCGCTCATCGGTCGAGGAGGAGGCCGTTGCCCGTGGCGCTAACCAGAAGGGAAGCCACAGCGAGCGACACCATGCAGCTACCAGGGTCGGCTACCAGCCGAGGCAGTAACAGCGACGGTCGAATGAATGAGCGAATCACCGCCAGGCCAACCGATTGGGCAGGCGAACGGGCCGACCGGCCGGCGGGCGGGCGGCCGCTCAGGCAGGCGGGCGGGCGGGTAGGCGACAGGCAGGCAGGCGGGCGGGCGATCCAAGCTGGAACGACGAACTGGTTGGCTTCGTCATTGAGCCGTTCCAAGCAATGTTGTCGCTTGCGGTGCCGCTATCGATGTTGCTGCTCTGGAGCACTATGATGCGTGACTGTGACGGCGATGTCAGCGGCTACCATCCACTCCAGCATCGCGTTCTTTCTACGCACTCCTAGCCGTTTGTGGCCGGCGGGAACTTTGGAACTTGATTGGAAGATGATTGAGGGAATAAAGTGGTTGCCGATCCATATACTCATCCAACCGGGATATATGATCGCTTACAGCAGGTTACGGAAAAGTGGTGGAGCGTTGAGAATCAATAACACGGGCATTCGGATGGTTATCGTGCGCGCGGGGAAGCCGACGGAAGATAACGGCCAGGGAGGAACGGATTCGGGCACGGAGGGAAGTTCCAAGAAAAAAGAGGGGCCGGCTAATTCAGAATCAGCACCCAGGAGATCAGGCTCCCGACTCGATCGGATTTGAAATGAGGGGATCGTCCTCGTGATCCGCACGGTCGACGGCAACGATCTTCGCGCCGATTGTTCGAAGATCGATCCAGAACGGAATGTCTTCGCTTCACGATTCGGTAGCGGGTGTTCTGCGATGGCGCGGTGCCAGACTTTCTGGTCATCGTCGTCGTCACCACTGTCGCAGCTTGAGTTCGTTCCAAGCAAGCTAGAATATTCGTCTGGTTAAGGGCGACATCAGTCGGCTTCCACTCGCTAGTTCGCTTCCTCCGCTCATTTTCTGAACTTCGTCCGCTTACCTCATGAGATTCCATCAGCCATGCTCTGCAATCGAATACCGAAAATGTTCTTCGAAACTCCAGCAGCGCTCGAGAAGATAATTCCATAAAGATCGGGAGTTTTTCCTTCTCCGACCTCTAAGGTTGAATTCAAATGACCGCTCTATTCGTTTCAGGGAGCGATTGTCCCCCGGAGAGGCTGTGGTAAATTTTCGATGTACTCCGATTATGTCTGCAGCTGCAGGGCTAGTACACAAGGGGGAATCCAAGAACAAGAAGACCTATGCCACCATAGACATCAATAATATCTACAAGGTAGGTTGAAAAATATTCTCCATATAGGATAGGATGAAAAACATACACATATGACATTGTATGTATCACCCTCCTGAAGCTCCGACGAAGATCTGAGATTCTCCCTCCGGAAACCAACGTCACTCATCAGGCCTCGATATCATCAATTAGCTCTTCGAATATTCAATTGACCGTCTTTTGCGTTTCCAGGGCAAATCCCTCGAAGGCCCGAAGTCCTCGGCAATTGGCGCTTCAAAACATGGACTCCAGTCGCTTGGAAAGGTGCAGGTCGGCAGGCGTATGCCTCCGCCGGCTCTGTTGCCCAGTCTGAAAAGTGAAAACCTAGGTACGATGTGTGCCTGTCCGCTTTTGTCTCGTTGCGCAGTCTATTCGATGGAAAATCTCTAGATCTGATCTCTCGACCTTAACGAACACCTCGACGATTTCAGGTAACAATCCGAATGTAACATTGGTACCTACAGGAGGACAAGGATGGGGAGTTGCGAAGACTTCTCAACCGGGAGCATCATCAACGGGGTCTGGGGGAAACGGAGCGGGAAACGGGAACAACAACACCAACAACAGCAGCACCAGCAGCAATCTACAGTCATCGGATCCACCAATCGCGCACCAGGAGAACCGCTCAGCTGTCGGCGAGAATGGACAGCCAGGGAAAGCCGGTTGCCAGAGCGGGGGTGGTGCTGGTGGGAACAAGACGTGGAGCAGTGTCGCCACTGGTCAGAGTCACGGTCAGCAGAATGGAGGTCATGGAGGTCCGGGTGGCGGCCCTCAGCTGCCTTTCTACCCCGGAGAGTTTCCCACGCTCAAAAACGAACCCGAGGGCAAACCGGCTGGTGGATCACTCAACAGTGCGGACCGGGACGGCCACGTTGCCAACCAATACGGTCCAGGCTTGGCTCTACGACCCGTCGAGTCAAACTGGAGCAAAGGCAGTGCTGGTGTAAGTGCCCAACTATCCGGAGGAAGCCCGCAAGCGAACGCTGGCAGTGGCGTCAACGGCCTCCTCAAACCGAGGCCTCTGTCTCCTCTGGGTTCGTCGCCCAATGATCCTCTCGGGATGGGCTATCCACCCAGTATCTCGAAAGGACTCGGACCTAGGGAGCGCCAATCACCTTTGACCAACGGTACAGCGGTAAGTGAATAATTACCTCCCCGGAGCTCTAGACTCACGCTTCAAGGTTAACCGAACGATTGAGGATGATAATAATCATAATTGGGATTATTATTTATAATCAAGAGTTATATTAAATAATCATTATCATTATCACAAGAATTATTTTAAATTATTAGTTTTTATTATTATATAAACACGGCAACCAAACGATGCTCTTTTGAGAATTGTCCATGAATGCGCATGCATGATCGATAGTGGATAGGGGATATCGCACATTATTCTTTATTTAATGAATTGTAAATATTCAATTCATGGAATGGACGCCGTCGATTAATTGATGTTTCTGTCGCAGCCTCTGTTCTCACGCGGGGAACGTGAAGAACGGCCTGGACACGCCGAGCGACAGGACCGTGGTGATGGACGTGGCGGCGGAGGAATGGGAGGCCCGCGACCCGGCGGCGGGGGCAGAGCATTCCAGAGGGACGATCCCCGCCTAGGACCTGATCAGCACTCGAAATCGGTGCTCAAACACTCCGCTATCATCTCTGACCAGCAACTCGAAGGCTTCGACCGGATACTCAAGGATAACGAAACCGATTGGTCCACCGCTAAAGGCGACATTGACTACAATGCGAAATTGTGTTTTTCCGAAGACGAGGACGACGAAGAACCGCGCTGTGGCGGCGGCGGCCGATCGGGGCGAGATCGCGAATCTCCTCTGAATTGCTCCCGCGATCAACCGAGCCAGAAACAGCTGTGGACCCCATCGGGCCAGCAGGACAGGGACGATGGCTGGAGAGAGGGACGTCACAGCCGTTTAAAGGACGGTGGTCGAGACAACCGAAGTCGCGGACCCATGCAGCAATGCGTGTTCGACGAGGACTCCCAGGACCGACAGGGGGATTCAGGCAACAGTGTATGGCGGAACAAGCAGCAGAAAACTAAAAACGAAATGAATGAATGTGTAGAAAGAGCTCGTATGATGCGTAGGGATTCTGAACGGAAACTTTCTGAACGGGACGACGTTCAATCTCATGTTGACCAGTACCAATCAAGTGACCGAGGCGGCAACCTGAACAATAACAGTGGCAACAGTCGGAAAGACAACAATTCCCAGCAACAGCTAAGTTCGGGAAGTCGTGGCCGAGTAGAGAAGCAGCTTCCACCTCGCTTTGCCAAGATGCAACTTGCCCAGGACAGTAGCCGTTGGAGTAACAATGGAGCCTCCGGATCCAGTGGGAATAATCGCAGTCGCTCCGACAGTAGCTCTTCTAACACAAACAACAACAGCAACAATAACAACGCCGCTTCCAATCAGGACAACAACTGTTCTTTGATGGGAAGCCAGCAGGAGAGCGTGTGGCAAATGAACAAGGAGAACAAGCAGCGAAGTCTGCACGACGAGAAGAGCCCAAGCCCGCAGCAGTCGTCACAGCAGCAGCAGCAGCAGCAATCGGATTGCCTGTGGCAACAACCCGACAAGCGTGAACCATCTGCGTGGCAAGATCAGGGCGGCTTGTTCGATCCGCCTCCGAGATTGAAGAACAACATGCACGCGGGACCCCCGTTGACTTTGACGAACGTAGCGGACATCGAGCCTAAGCGAAATCTCACGTCGCTCAAAAAAGGTGAGTTCCGACCGTCGGGAAACATTCATCCCTACGGCATTTCACTCGTGCTGAAATATAGATTTCGGAACGGACAAAATCCAAACCAAGGAATCATAAATCATGATCCATCATCATCGTGAAAGATTTCGTGCCGGATGCTTTTGCGAGAGAGCTGCCCCCCGAAAAACCGGAGTGACACATTTCCCTCTTGAATTTCAGACGGCTCAGCGGGTTCTAAGCAGAAGGACGACGAAGGCATCGATAAAGGCGCCGACGAGATGGCTACACGGATGAGCCATAAATCGGTGTCTTCGGATTCCCTCAAGGGTTCCTCAGGCTCGCAGGCCAGCCGCGGAACCTCGAGCAAGAAACTGCAGGACAACAGCGACGGCGTTGCCTCCAACGACGAGGAACAACGAGGATTTTCGCCTCGTGGTGAGCCTTCACGAAGAGGTCGAGGAGGCGGTCGTGGTGGTGGCGGAGGGAATGGCACCGGAAGCGCTGCCCCGATGCGAGGGTCCGGGAGGCCGTTCGGTGAGAATAGGGGCGCCCCTGTTGGCCAGAAAGGACCAAGTGGATATCCTTCGAAAGATATGTCCTCGAGAGGAGGTCGCGGCGGGGGTGGCAGCGGCGCCGGCGGCAGAGGTGGGCCCGCGTCGAGTCGTCACGGCCCGTCTCTGACCCAACTTTCCCCGCAAGATCGAAACCAGAAAGACGATACGCCGCCCGCTCGATTCAAGCGTTACGACGATCATGACGAAGACGACGACGACAAGAAATTCGGAGGACGCTCACAAGGAACAAGAGATTCGCGAGATAAACCGCTCGCCGGCGGTAGCGGTAGACAACAGAGGAACGGTGGCCCGAACGATCGGAAAGACACCCGCAGAGACGAGCGTCGGGAGACTTCCAAGAACGGTCAACAGCCGCAGGACAGCAAGAAGCAGGAGAACAAGTCCGCTCTGACGTCCAAGGACAAGAAAGTGCCGCAGGACTCGAAGAAGTCAGACAACGGCTCCGCGTCCGGCACCTCGCCAGGTTCCGCGACCAGTGTCGGTGGTCTGACCTCTCTGAAGAAAGATCAACAGCAGCAGCAGCAGGCTCAGCAACTTTCGTCCGTCGGCCAGCAAAGCGCAGGTGGACAGAAGGTTGCCGGCGTGACCTCTAGCTCGACACCCCCTCAGAAGAAGGAAATCGGATCGAGTAGCTCGTTGAAGAAGGAAGGCGCCTGGGGAGATTCTGAGGTTTCGCCGGGTATCGAGTTCGGCACGCTGGGAGAAAGCGAAGATCTTAACTTCAAGATCCAGGCTGTCAAGAAAGTCTGGGAGACCGATCAGACGACGTCCAGCCATCCGGCGCAGAGCCAGTCAAGCCAAGCGAGCGGCGTTCCGACGTCCGCGGCTAATGTGCAACAGATGTCCCAAGTTGCTCAGCAGAGCGCTGCCCAACAGCAGCAGCAGCAACAGCACTCCGCGGCTCAGAGTCAGCAAGCTCAGATTTCCTTCTTCCAAACCATGGAAAAGGAAACCTCTTCGAGTCCGATGCAAGTAGGACAATCAGCTGCTCAGGCCGTGACGCAGCAGGATTTGAGCACTTCCGCGCAGCATATGGTGTCGAGTCTGCAACAAGCTTACGCTAATTCTCAACAGCAGTCGAGCAAACAGGCGGTTTCTCTCGGGCCGCAACACCTGTTCCAGCTGATGCAGCAACAACACCAACAACAGCAGCAGCAGCAGCAACAGCAGCAACAGCAACAACAGCAGCAACAGCAACAGCAGACTCCGCAGCAACAGCAGCAGCAACAACAACAGCAGCAGCAGCAGCAGCAACAGAAGTACCACACTGCGCCCGCGGCAGCTGTTCAGCGCCACCATCCGTTGGCGACCGGTTACGGATCACTCTCGCAGAGCCCCATCGACCCGAGTCAACACCATCTGCGCGCTTTCGCCCAGCCTCACGCCGGCGCTGCGCAGATGTACACCACGTCGTTCCAGAACCCCCCACCTGCACCTGGACACCAACACATGACGAATAGTCAGGCACCTGCAGGCACCGGGGCGTCGAACGATCACCAGTACACCTACTTCCCGCAGGATATGTTCCGTTATCAGCAACAAACCCAGCAGAACCACTTCCGGAACTTTTTCACTACGCAAACCGGACCTTTTGGAGCCACGCAACAAGGATACCATCACCAGATGCCTCATTACCCACCACCCAACATGCAACAGACGTTCTCGACCGGAATTTACGCAGCGGCCGGACACGCTCCCGCCACAGCGGCCGCAACGGCGGCGTCCCGGTACGCCGTCAAGGACGCTCAGCAGCCGCCTTACGAACAGAGCACGCCGCCTCCGTACGCCCACTCTCAGGCACCTCAGCAGGGCGGACAGGCAGCTGTTGTCGCTGCAGCTGCTGCGAACCGTTCGACCGCCGGAACGATGGGTTCGCTCGGCGGTGTGCCCGCGAAACAGCCGGGCGGAGCCGGAGCCTTCGGCGCCGCTTCCAGCGGACTCTTCGGGTCGAACCAACGGGCTCAGCAGCAGTACGGTCAGCCGATGATGAGTCAAAGCGGACAACCTTCCGTCGCTCGTCAGAACCCCAACCCTTCGGCTGGTGGGCAAAGCCAACGGTACGCCGGAAAGTCATCCGGTTACTCACATCATTGAGTTGTCCTGGAGGTCGCGCAAGTACAGCCAAGCACCTTTCCCTCAGTGAACGGAAGTTCGGCTTCGTGAGTTTGCTTCTCTTTCGCAAATCGAATGGCATTCATTCAATCAATCAATCTACCACCCAGTTGCGGCAATGCCGGTCGACTCATGATCGCAGCAGTGCATTGATTAGGGAAGGACTTTGGATAGCAGCGGTGGGCTGAGAGTTAGTCCTCACGGAGAGTCCGCTTCTCTTCGTCGTCGTCGTAGCCGTCGTCTTCAGCAACGTATCGATCGCTACGAATCATCGTCGTCGCCGTAGTCGTCGTCTTCTAACTCCTCCTTCAACTGCTCTTCCCTCTTCTACTTCTTGTTCTGGTGGTCAGTCGTTCCGTCGATTGAACGAACGAACGAATGAACGGACGAACGAACGAACGAGTTGACGCCGCCCACCCGCTCGCTCGCTAGCTAGCTCGGTTGCCTAATCGGTCGCTTGGTCGGTCAGTCATCGTTACCGTCTTCTGAGAAATAACAGCTGTTCAGTAACACGTTCAATAGGCGTTTTATCCTTAATCCAACCTACAGAGATGGTGTCGCGTTGACCCCGTATGGTTGTCGGCGAATCCGACGCCCCCTGGACGACTGGCTGGGTCGCTCGCTCGCTCGGGCGCCCGCTTGCTCTTTTGCGGTGAGCCAACGCCGATGAATTGGCCGAAGTTTGAACCTCAAAGACAGATGCTCTGTCATATAAGCTCGGTTGAATGAGTGAGCCATTCAGTCGGTCGTACATCGGGAGAGAATTGCACGAAAAAGATGCTGGGAGAACGAGATCCGATGTGCTCCGTCGTCGTCCCCTAAAGTAGTTGACACCGACGTCGGCGTCGCCGGCCCCGACGACGCTGGCGATCTAAAAGAAAATCACCAAAAAAAAGTGAAGATCTAAACGAACCAATTTCTCCTTCTATCCGCGTGCGTTGAGCATGATCAAATGAATTCGAATACTGCTCGTGGTAAGCTAATTCAACAGGGAGCGAAACCAAGAAACTCAACAAAAAAACAAATACAACATTTTACAAAAGTTCCAAACAAACATCGAATTTGTGTTTTGAATCTACCGGGAACGAACTCTTCGGAGTCCTCCCCTCCCAGAATTTCCGCGTTGACTCGATCTTGTACGAGTCTCGCACTGACGTGTGGGAAAGTCTGTCTCCCCATCGATACGAGGTTCAGTTCTCTTGGAGTGACGATCAACAACTGATTCAGATCATATACCTATATCGGAACTGAGCAGCCAGTGGTTTCGATAGATTAGCCGAACGGTAATCGGAGAGCTCACAGTCAGTGGAATACTTGAGAATGAATCCACTTATTCGGTTCGGGCGAGTCGCCAAACTGACCGGGACTTGCAACATGGTTCACGAACTTCGAGGTCGCCATTAGCAGAGTATATTCCGGCACGGAACAAGCTTCGAGGGGCTTCACTGCTGACGGTTGGCGCTGGCTGCTACCCATTTGATTCGCTGAAGGTGATTATCCGTTAAAATTCATCGTGAAATTTTCAAATGGTCCATCGATCATCCATCAGTCTACCAATAATGCCTGAATGACCATGAGAATCTCTAGGAAAGACATGTAACCGAATCTGTCCGCTATCTTCCAGATTGCCCGGGAGTTGCATACATCAGAAAAGTAGCAAGACCATGCCACTGAAGACATGGCAGCATGTGCATCGCAGGAGAAGCAGATTGAGGATATCGACGGGACGACAGTGGGTAGTTCAATCAGTGGCTGGATCTGGGAAATCACACATTGACCCAGCTTGACGATCGGTTGAGCCCTTCGAGGTTCTCACCATCGTCGATCCACCGAATCGGACGCAACGGAGAGAAACGACAGTTTGGCAAGTTGGGTATCACAGAGCCGTTCGACACGAAGAGGATTTTATTCGTGTTCGACCCAGAGACATGAAGTTTGCTTCGAGGAGACATGGACGCTGCCGTTTTCGTAATTTCTCGTTGAATAAGAACCGTCACAGAGAGAGAACGACGTCGATGGCAGTAGCTGCGTTGAGAAGGAACGAATAACTAACTCCTCTGACGAGCGGCGAAGTTGGAGCTCGGCTTCTTGGAGGCCTCGTGCGCGTTCTGCTGCTCCCTCAAACTCGCAAGTCTCGGTTCGTTCCAAGTTAGTCGGCTCGAAATCAGGAGGAGCTATGTAAAATATTACCACGACGTTTACTACCACAACTTCCACCAATACTACCATTATTCTTATACTTATTGTAATAATTATATGATTGTCGAGATGGTTTAAACTAGGCTGCGAACATGAATGCGAGCGAACTTGAAGCGAACGGTTACCGTGAGGAAACAAGCTTGTTTGATATATAGTGGTGCATTTCGGAGAGTTTGGGCCGACACGAGGCTTCGAGTTTCCATGTGTCCTTTTCGCCCGGCATCTGATGTCCAGATCACTTGGTAGTGCGCCACTTTTTCACACTTTCTCTCTATACCCTGAGAATCGAGACGCGGGTCTACCATCGTATGGAACAACTGCCTCACTATGGTCGAATAATCCGTCACTGCGTAAAGTGAGCTGACATCTTAAGATGTGAGCGATGCTCGCTCAGATGAAGTCAGCTCGCCTCCGAATGACTATCCGTCGATCTGTCGGTCGATATATGAATCAATCCACGAGTCAGGCTGCCCATGTCCCATTTTTCGATCGTTCCTTACATGAGGAACTTTTGAGCTATTTCAACAGCATGAAGTTACTTCCGAGATGTCGGTGTGCGAGAGAAGAAGCCGGCGTGCTCGAGCTCCGCACGGGGCATTTTGAATCGATTGCTCGGTCGATCCATTCTGTCTATCGATGTATGACTTGATAAGGTGGATAGAGGTTTAGATCGTTCATCTAGATGTCATATAAATGTTTTCATTGACGACGATGACGAAAGAAATATTCAATCTTCCCCTCCTGTTTTTCTTCTTCTTCGAAGCAACTCACACATTTCGGCGAGATTCATTTTCGAGAACCGCCAACTACCGAGATGCTCCGCTGCTTCACGAAGAGAAGTCACACAAATACACACCTTTTGATGATTGAGAATAATGACGACCACGATGATAATGATAATGAAGATACTATTAATAATAATATTAGTAAGAGTGGTCATGCTGAAGGTAATAATGAGAAACAATGATCACCGACCGAAGAAGAAACTGATATGATAATGCTGAAAATGATGATGAGACTATATATTAGAGTGGTAAATTGGTACTGAGAGCATAAACACATACAACTTCTAGGCGTAATGAACGAGTAAAACAAATGAAAATAAATAACTTCAATATTCAGCTCAGATTCCTGCTCATTTCGATCGAGTCTTAGATTCAGCGGGATCTGCTAGAGAGATCCGGAGGCATTGCGGTGTCTTCTGGGGTTCTTGATATGGACTAGACAGGCAGCGATTCAGAGAGGGTTCAGTGGGGAATGACGAGGGGGAAAGAGAAGCGGCTCCGATTCCGGACTCGGAGAAGGGACCTCACGGGCTGGTCAATCGCATCCGTCATTACTTCATTGTCTCTAATGCGGGACCGCTCCTCCTTCTACACGTCATCATCAAGGAGCGGGACCCATACGACAGGGTTTCAATTGAGGGGTCCGAATTGCTCAGTTCCGGCTTTCGTGGGAGCCAAGGGATTCCGTGGTTCGGGAAGTTGAGGCGCAGGTCAGCCGAGGAACTTGTCTGTCAGATGAATTAGTCCGATGTGACAGCCCATTACAGAAGCTTCTAATTCAGAGGCAGAGAAGTTTAGGAGCTCATTTTCCTCAGGCAACGCCAGAATGAACAGACATCGGATTTGCAGACTTTATTTTATTTACTTATTTTATTCATACCGCACCAGTGATAAAGCATCGCTTGCAGCGAGAATCCCATGGCATCTCGGCGGATGCGTACCCCGTCAATCAATCGTCTGGAGCCGATTTTGGTTTATTGTTTTGTCGGGGGAAGTCGACTTCGCTCCCTGTTCCGACTCTCGATGGCTCTTCAGGGATTCTCCACCAATGACGATCTAGAGTGATGAGAATCGGGAGACTTTGAGCTGAGGAACACAGACCAATCTTGAGCTATGAAGTACTGCATCGCTGTAGAGGAGAAGCAGACTCGTCGTCGGACGAGGCATCATCCGAGCGCGGCGGGGTATTGGAGCTGTGGCTCGGTGCCGGGAGGAGGTTCATCATGTAAAGGAACATCGTCCCTTGTTGGGGAGCTGGAAACAAAATTCATTTGTACCGAAGAGTACTAATGTCAATCGCAAGGAAAGACGGTCGTCATTGCCAGCATGAGTTGTTCCAAGTCGTCGGAGGAATGTGACCGGCAAGGACCGCATTCGAAATTTCCCCGTTCGAATCGTAGGTCTCTGACTATCTTTTTCGATGATGCCCCATTTGACTATCTGATCAAAAAGACTACAGTCACGCGTTTCCGATATTTTCATTTATTTCAATTCCTCCCCCATCTATATTACATGCGATGAGATTCTCGAAAACACGATACCAATGGGATCACACGACAATACTTCATGAGCCCCCGTTGCCGAGAAACTGGGAACTCCCTCAAAATTTCCCAGTCCCCGAAGAGCCATTCGTACCGGTGGATAGTTCGATAATGTCTGTGGACACAAACCCGCAAAAATCACGCTGTGCGAAACGTGTGGAGGCCATTCCGAGAATGGAGTGAGAGAAGCTCTGTAGAGATCATCGCCGAGCATTCGTGCTTCAAAGATCGAGGCACCCTGAGCACAAGTTGCTCTCGAGCCGACCCGTCACGAGAGGTTCTCATAATTTCTCATCGCATGTTACAACACGAAGCGACGGGAGCACGGAAATCGAAAGGAGAGGGAACTCAATATGTCGGACTTATGAAAAGCTCTATTTTGAGCGCATGAATATCGATGATGAGGACATCGGGACGTCTGAATCCTGATTGCATTCGAAGGATCCCCGGAGTATCACATTAGTTAATTGGAAGGCCGAACAAAGAAGACCGGCTTCCGGATAATGAATGCATATCCTACTTCGTTAGTCCCATCGTCCACGTTCTCCACGGAAGTCCAGGTGTTGGATATTCCTTATATCCTAGAAATCATTCATCTGACGTCTCCGCAGCCGGATGTAGTACTCACAATAATCGCGGATGAGATTTTGATGCCGCTGCCTCATATTCTGTATGGTGTGCTGTAGAGGGAGAGAATATCGCTCGAGTATTCCATCGAAAAATTCTGTCGAAAAGACGACTCTCGGAGACATGAAGGTCTGGTTCGAGCGACGACCCTCGACGGATCTGGGAGCTCACCTCGCGAACCTCCTGTAGGCTAGGCTCTTCTTCGGCCGATGGAGCCCATATTTTCACGTTGTGATCGAAACCTGAGGTTGCCAAGAAAGGAGCGGTGGGATTGGGCTCGACACAATTCAGAGCACCGTCTTCGTCACCAAAGAGAAAATTGACTATGTGCGACGATTCTTTGTCCCAGATGTAAATATGTCCGCAATCTGAGCCCGAAACGATGAACTCGCTTCGCTGTCCGAAATAATTCACGCCTTTCACTGGAAACAAGAATCGTAGGGAATTTTCGAGAGATCGGGGTTTTTATCGGCCATCACTCTATCAGTTATCACTGGATCCAGGGCAAGCCTGAACACCAACGATAAATATGCCCATCGGCGTATCGATGATGTCTACGAGTTAGAATAAGGGATCTTGGGCAGATCGAAATCACGGGGTCGTTTCGGTTTCACTCACCGGTGTCGTTGTTTCGATGTCCTTGATATTGGTGGAGATAGGAGTTTTCTGTACCCTTAGCCTCAATTGTCGAGATGTCATTCGCGAACAAATAAATATCTTCGTCTGAATAACTGGCAAGAATCTCGGTTCCGTCGAAATTGTATACCGCTTCCGACACGGACAAAGACGCGTCGTCGCAACGAATCTGCAATTGGAGCTCACGTCACGTTCTGAATATCCTCCCGAGAGTATGGGACAAAGCGATGAGACATGCACGAGAGTTCGATTTTCCTTCGAAAACCCGCGTACTCACTAGATGATCTGGGCAGAGCTCTCGGACAAAATCATCCGGTTTTGCGTTCCGTCGATCAAAAACGCGAACGAACTGATCCTTGCCGCCTGTGACGAATTCTGATGGGCGGAGAGGATTGATTGCGATGCTGTAAAGGCCTACAGGCTGGCCTGCGCTCCTCACAGTGACCTGGAGATTCAGATTAGGGTTTCGAATCGTGTCATCGCATCATTCTCTTCATCGACAGAAGGCACTTTGGCGCCCACGGCGAAGATGGGAACTGACCACGTTGATTGGGTTTGGGAGACGGATGTCTATATTCAAAACGCAACCGTCTTCCCCAGCTGTCAAGATTGTCTCGTGTAGAGCGGGGTGCATAGCTATTTTGTGTACAGGTCCTCGATGGAAGCCAATCTTGCGCGAATCGACGCCCCGGCTTCCGGCTTCGTCAAGCTCTGAAAATCAATCAGATTCATGAAGCTCGAAACTCGAGCCGACGGACGTCAGAAGGAATAAACATCCCCTGATAGACCAGCATACAGTATCGACCGGCATCGCGCTACTTACGGTGTATTCTAATGGATCCGTCATGAGAAGATGTGATGATGGTTTGATTGTTCTTGTGGGGCATGAACTTCGATTGGAAGACGTTGCTCCGATGACGCGATGAGAACGAAGTGAGTAGCTTCTGGCTGTCGGCGCCAAGAGAGAGTAGGAGAAAGATTGTCTCTGATTAGAACTGACTGAACGTAAGTGACTGCGACATCGAAAATCGCAGGTTTCTTCGAATCATGCTTGCTCCAGGGCTACCCTTCGCCTACCTCTGCCACTCCCAAAGCTGACACTGGAGATCATCCGATCCCGAGACTAAGAGATCCCCCTCGGCGTTGAAATTCAGTGAGTTCACGCATTCCCAATGACCCTCCAATTTCGCCATCAGCTCGAGTCTCTGAGCCATGTGTAAATTACCTGGAATTCAATGGCTCAAGGCTTGCCATCAATGCGCTATTCGGGAGAGACTCTCTCGTTGTGCCTCTCTCTTTAGACGAGCTGTCCCGGAGAACGAACACGGGCAAAGTCAGTCGTCGCATTTCTCAATCCAGGTCCTTACCGTAGCATCTCCGCCGATAGGTGCGTGCTTTACCACACGTTTGGAAACGATTGAATTCTAGCAAGGCACTCCATTTATGCATGGGTTTCGGACATTTCGGAATAACATCGTAGCGGGGGTCGTTGTCGCTCGGTTTCCGACGGCGAAGAGGTCGGAACGCGTTCCGAACATCCTCTTCGGAGGTGTCATCGGTGTCCAGGTCCACGTCCGGGGAAGCTGGTGCGGCAGCTTCGAGATCGGAGGGAGCCGCAGCGTCGTCCGCTTCATCTGGAATTCGTGATTCGGGATGGTCAGAGTTTTCGTTCAGCAAGCAAAAATAATCCATAGGCGAAATGACTCCTAATGAATCATGCCACACGAGATGTCTCGCAAATCTCATTTTCGAAGCTAACCGGCTCGTGAAGCGGAATCATTGGCGAGGGGCGATCGGAGAAATCGCCGCGGGTCCGGTGAACAACTGGAGCTCGATTCGGATGAAGTTGAGGCGGTGCTGTAGCGTTCGCTGTCGGACGTCTGTAATTGATCTTTGGATGAAAGAGAGCCCACCGAATAGAGATATACCAGGACGCTCCCTCCTTCCGGACGCCAGCAGCGTCGGAGGATCCACTCCCCAAAGGGTTGAAGCCACCGGATGTTTCTCGGTAAGCACTCACCAATCCTTGCAGATCAGGGGTGCTCTGGCGACTGCTTGCAAACAGGGGCGTACTGGCTGAGCTAGAGCTCCCAGAGCCGGTGTCGAGCTCCTCGGAGTTCTCCATGATTTGACTGTTCGGTTGACTTCGTTCCTCTTGCGCACAATTATGGGAGTTTTTACAGCGCTGAGCCTGCCGCCGCGGCCGTGAAGAATCTCGATGGATGTACTTTGTTTACGTTTGCTCGACTGCGCATCGCGAAGAGACTCCGACCTAGACCGAATACTTTGAGTGCCGAGCAGTCACGTTCGGTGTACTCGGTTTCCCTGTTTGGGAGATCTGAACATGAGAGATTTACATCAATGACTCTAGGCAGGATGCTCGAAACTCGCTACTTCCACATCCAGTCCTCACTGCATATCAGCTGTGTGAGACGCGAAAGTTTGAAACGACGTCGCATTTGTTTTGGACTCGGAGCATCGAGGATCGAGAGCTCATCCAGCATCAATGGCTATGTGGAGTGAGAATATTTCGCACACTCGTGGTATCATCAGCGTACAGGTCCGCATGATGCACTCTAGATTCGATGACTTTTGCAGTCATATGTTGAACAAGCCTTCCGAGGGCCTGACGCGGAGCTAATCGAGAGCGTCAGCTCTCCGTCGTTTTGAGCGGCAATGCATACCGATTGAGAGGTTTGGTCTACTTCACGCTACTCCCTGCAAAACTCACGATTGTTCCGGATATTCCCAGCGTCTTTGTTTCGCGATCTCAATTCACGAACGATCCGGGTTGCATCTATGTGTAACAGAGCGTCCAAGCGTCGAGTCTAGATGTGCCCGGCGCATTCGGACAGCGGGGCGAATGATCTTCAAGAACTCGCTCACCGGCCGCAGCCGCGAAATTGGCGAGCAAACAACTTCGGAAGGATTTTCCGAGAATTGCCTCGTGCTGAGTGCCCCTAGGAGTTCTAAATGAATTTTTAGCGAAAATCCCTGGTTTCTTCGCGAAGATCCAGAACGACGCGACGCTATCCGGGTAATACGTCTGAGCTCGGTGGCTCCGGTGAATCTCGGAACCTTCGAGTATATATAAATCGTATAACAATGGAGGCTTATCTCGTATTTCTCCCTCAATGAGTCTTCGTACCACAACCTGTCTGGTCATAAGTGTGATTCAGGCGCGGAGTTGAAATATAGTGTCTGATCTCATTTCCTCTTTCCGAGAGATGGTCTGTTCCAGCTCCTGCTCCGGAACTGGCTCCATCCTCTCTTGGGACTCCGTTAACGCCCGGGGAGAAGCCCGCGGCTCTCCGAATGCCGGAGTCTTATTCGGTGCACCTCGGTATTTGCGCTTAGAGCAGGCGGCCCGCTGCCTTCCCCCGACTTGAGCTACGAGCACTCCCTATTGGAATGTACTTTTGGAATAATCGCGCTTCACCTCCACGATGGACTCATGACACGCGACGATTCAAACCGAGTTGACAGGGCTATCGTCGCCTCCATCTCGTCGATAGGAGTATCCGAGAACCTAAGAGGGTGAAGATTACGGTGGCTCAATGAAGTCGCCAGATGGGACACTGCGACCCTGGGAACGGAAGGCTTCCTCCCTTCGCTCTTGAGTATCTAAATCTTTATTTCGATCGGCATTCACCTGAGGTAATGGACAAGTGATGCGGAAGAGGAACGACTCCCGTGCGAACTCAAGCTTAGCTTTCCTTTCTGAGTAGCTGCTCCGAATTCATTCTTCGAGGATGCAGCTTGGAATCCGAGAATGGATTCCGACTCCGGAGAAATGGAATTCTGTGAGCTTCTTCAATATTAATGGGAGACCTCCATCGCGAAAAATGCCGAATGCGTCAATGTGAGGTGTTCTGCGTGATCAGGAGCTCAATAATTGATCGACAATCCACCGACAAGTTAGAGCAGAGGTTCCCAAACTGGGTTCCGCGGAACCCTTGGGGTTCCGTCGCTCTTTTCCGGGGGCTCCGTGAAAAAATCTTTGCGGATCCCCAGTGTTCCGTGGGCTGCTTTTTGCGCAACTCGGGGTTCCGCGACGAGGTTTCGCTTCCATATTGTAGCGTTCAGATAACGAAGGTGGGGTTAGCAACGATGCTTTATTGCGAGTTAGCACGGGCTTTTATAGAAGCGTAAGATGGCGCTACGGGCGCCGCTTCAATATGTACGGTCATATACGGGCCCTAGGTGTCGTAGCCCTGTTGGGAACTTCTTTTCCTGATTCCAAATGTCTTCCTCAATCCCGGAGGGGATCGTTCTAATTGGCGCATCGATCGGCAACGAATGCACACTGCGAAGGTCGTTGCACAAGGCACGTTCCCACTAGATGAGCATTCCTAATTTACGCAAGAATTGACTCAAGCAATAAACATTCGGGTATGGTCCGGAACAAACGACAAGGTCTTCCCTCTAATAGCTGAAAGGAAAGAGCAATTGACAGGACTTCGAATTTTTTTAAAAATGAGGAAGGGTTCCACGGAACACTAGGGGTTCCGCAAAGGGTTCCGCGGAAGAAAAAGTTTGGGAACCTCTGAGTTAGAGTTTCCTCCTGAGTGAGTGGCTGGTTTGAGGTTCTGTTTTTCCTTTCCGGAGAGCCGATGCTCCGTAAAGAACAATCGTCTTATCTTATTCCAGCGGGAGAGTTCTGAGAGATTCAGACAAGATGGGGACGAATACGATTGTGATCAAAGCGGGCGACATTCCAATAATGAATTCAGTTTGTGGAGGGTGGAGGGAAGACGTCATTGCTAAGCGGCGAGCTAATTGCAAGCGCGGATGTCCCCTCCCGGAGATAGTAAGGGTCTACGAATTATAGTGGAGGAGATAGTATTTCGAAACGTTTATGAGACTTATCAGCCGAGGATGATTCTGGGATGCTCGTTATCTCCGAAGCATCACTCTAATTGACAAAATGCTCGCGCGTGGGTCAACACGATATTTCGTCATTCCGCACTTGGAGTGGGAACTTACCTCTGAGGATGCTACGTGAGGGAAGGCACATCGTGTTTTACATTCTCTATCCGCCAGAATCGCTCGTAGCAAGCATGGGGAATCGTCGCTCCCTCGTAGTCTCAAATCTGCCTCGAACTGAGCATCTGTGGTTTAATTGTCACCACTCTAAGTGTATCCGTTTCCTCCGAGGAACACGACTCTCCGCTGTAAACACACTTCACGGCGCCTTTCTATTCGTGGCGGGTTCTCTGAACTTATCTCGGAAATTGACTCAGCGCCTGCTGGGGGAGGTGTCGCGATATTATCGTTGGAGCGTCGGACAATGCCTCTGCTTTGGCATGAGATTTTTTCCTTAGAGAATGAATCTGCGAGCATGATGGCTACTCGGTGTCCCTCCGGAAGCGATGTCCGCGCCGCATCCAGGGATGCAGCGGAGAATAAGCTCTTCCACCGAAGCACCTCAAGATGTCTTTGAGAGCAAGCGAGATAAGGAGTGTTCCCAGGAATGTTTTCGGCTCCGATATATCCGACGTTTCCAAAATATTTATTCTCATTATCCAAATCATGAGTCGTCAAAATGTCCCAACGCGATAGCATTCTCGTATCACAATAGACTACGTGGCTATTTCCATCTGTACGGAGTCCTTTACGACGCTTCCGCGTTCTGAAGAGAAAGACCCAGTGGAGCACCGATGGGAATCATTGCTCATTTGAATAATTACCCCGTTCTTTTCTCACGTTGAGGGAATTCCTTGGCATATAGGTATGTACAGTTTGGAACACGGTGCGGTCCGACAAAGGCTCAGGTGGAACATCTTAGGAGAAGACCACTCTTCTCGTCTGCTCTGAAGTGAGGCTCTATGAAGGAGCACGCGATGTCCTGTGCAGCCGAGGGTAGAACGAACAAGCTCATGTATAATAGCCAATTGAAGAATCCATCGGATCTGGAATGCGCAGAGTTTGCACAGAAGAAAAAATGGTGAGTTCTCAATGACGAACACAAACTCACACCCTGCTATTGAGTCTGGCAGCCGATGCCGCTTTTCTTAGGAAAACTCGGCGATGGGAAACTGAGCTGTCGTAACTCGAGGATGTTCCGCTCCGTCAAAAGCGGTTTCGAACGAAACCGTTCAGTAGAAATGGCATTGTGATGGTTTGTTTCCACAGAAAGATGTCTGGTTGAGGTTGACGAATCTCTAAATAGGAGCCCTCCGCAGATATTGCATTCAGGCCTCACCTGTAGTGTCGCTTTGGTTCTCTATCCGCTACGGCGCAGAACATCTGATCCACGACTTCCAAAGAGTTCTTCCGAGAAATCCTCCCCAAGAGCCCCATGAACCACTGGAAAGCGTGCTCCGGGTATTCGCCGTAGTCTTTTCTAAGTTCCTCGGGAACGTCACGCTCGAACTTCGACATCATGCTACCGAAACCGCTCGGATTGATCCCGGTTCTCGGAAGGAAATGGGAGAGCTGTTAGGGCGTAACCGAATGACTCGGAAATTTGATGAGCTTGACAGAAAGAGAATGAGATCATATTTGGAAATCATCTCACTGATAGTAGAAGGGCTCGATCGTGCACACGTGCACCCCCCACTTCTTCATTTCTCGACGTAGACCGTCCGCCATGGAAATCACGGCGGCTTTTGACATTGAGTACGGAACGATCATGTTGCTCGCTATGCGTCCGGCATAACTCGACACCACAACCATGCGACCGCGGGAATTCCTGGAGGTCGAAATCGGTCGGAGAGGTCTTGTCTGACATTCAGAATCACAGTGGTTCTTACAACCGCCCACTCTCGTCCAGGGAGAAGGGTGGGACGAGACTACACAACGACTCACCTGAGCATAGGGAGGAACGCCTTAGCGGTCCGAACAACCCCCATGACGTTCACGTCGAAGATGCGTGAGACGTCCTCCGTGCGAATCCATTCGAATTCGAGGAAGATGTTCACGCCCGCGTTTGCAACGACCGCCCAAAGCTCTGCGAAAAATTATTCTCAGCTTGCGCGCCCGGTCGACCTCGGGGCAGAATATCTGGCAGAATCTGTCTGCTGGTACGGAAATCTCATTGCCAACTCACGGTAACCCTTGAGATTGGTTTTCACGTATTGTACGGCGTCCCGGACTAGCTGCTCATCGGTCACGTCCAACGGAACTATATGGAGTTTCTCCGAGCCGCGAACCAAATTAGTGGCACCCTGACCTTCAGGAAAGAGACAGCCGGCAAAAACCAGGTAACCCTCGGAATCGAGCCGTTTTGCCAAGTGGTATCCGAAACCTGAATCACATCCTGTAAACCCAGAATGAGAGAAGTTGCGGTTCGTTCATGTTTTAGCGAGTCGAATCGCGGCAGGAGCAGAGAACAATGAGCTGAAGAGAATCTTGTTATCCCGGTTGAAAAATACTCCGATGCCGTCATACCTGTGATTAGAACAGCCTTGCCCCGAGAACCCAGTTTCGGTCCCTTCAAGAACAGCTCAGTCGCTAGCCAGCCAAGAGCACAGGCTAAAATGAGAAGAGCGATACCTGCACCGATTTGTTGGAGAGCGTACCACAGAAAAGGAACGGTCTTCGCTGAAATTCCCAGCAGTGCTAGGCAGACCCAGTACGCCCGGAACTCGTGCAATTGCGATGCCTGGGTGGAGGAGAAGACTTATTTGAAAAAATCTTTTGATAAAAGAAAACGCCGATCATGCGATAAGATCTTGATGACAGACGAAGGTCAACGGAAAGATTGATGGGATGCCTGATCTTCGAGTATGAGGGCTCCAAGCGCAGGATAGCGGTACTTGCAGAGCTCGCGTGAATGCTTGCCCTTGCGAAGTGTTTGATTTTTCTTCTATTGAAAATGACTCGACAATCTGTCAAACTCGCAGCGACCCCATATCTGTGATAGGAATCGGGGCATCTGCGGTCACGACAAGAAACACGGTCGAAAGTCGTTCCTAGAGCTCTTGCGAGCGCAATTGCATGGCGCGGCGGATCCAGCAAACGAGAGCATGGATTTCTACAAAAAGCTGAGAGGCAACCTCAGATCTTATGATGATCCCTACTCCCTACTCATGGCTCCTCCAGCTCTTGCGCTCAGATCGATAGGATATCAGTATCAGCTAGGATATCACGGAGGATTAAACAGTCGGGAGGAAACTAAAGGAAGTCATCGACAATGAGTGCGTTCGCCAGTTGAAATCCGAGACAGTAGTCAACGGATGAGTGTCATACAAGGGACAGCGAAACCGCATTGCTCGAAGGCTTTCGCGTGTTCACGCTCCGCGAATCCCAAAGTGACGACAGAGAAAGAGGTGCAACGCGGCATATCGGATCTTTGATTGACTCATTCTCGTTTCCGTATCAAATCTTTGCTTTGTGTCTCCATTCTCAAAACCTCACGCAGACAGAATTCTCCATTGAATCTCAGATCGTGGTATCGAACAAGGCTCGTGATCAACGTCGTGTTCACACGAACGGGGCGGAGGAAATATATTCGATGAGACGGTAGGACTCTGCGAGGCATTCAGGGCATTTTTTTCTGGGAAGTGCAACCGTGGGTCTGACTTAACGATTTTCTCTCCTTCACTCCTGAAGTAGACTCGAAACAATCGATCGCCTCAGCGTCAATCGATTGCAATCAGAATCGTTACGTGCCGTTTCTCGAATATTACGGCACGTTCCTCGAAGGCTCGGAACGAGTTCGGTCATCGATATGTGGTAGAAGGGTGGGTCTGGATGACGGAACGGACGCTGTTCAAATAACGAAAAAATACGGCCTTCGGAGTGACTTGAGAAAAAATTAAGCGCCTGTCGTTCGAAGTGCCCATGTTGTTTGACATGTGCCACTGGAAGTACCGCTTGTTGTCAGATCCGCTCGTCTGATCTGACACGGGCGATTGGCACAGGAAAAGAGAGATCTCAGCGTCAGTTCAAACTTTCGATCGTGGATTTGTCAGAACACTTTGGAACGGGTTTAGCAATCTCATCCGACGGCCTCTATAGTCAGCATTTTTCATTAGGTGTATGAATCCGAGGATTCGAATAAGGACCAAATTTTGAAGGCATCCGGCAAGGGACCCGCCAATGACGCCGAGTCTCCAATTAGAGCTGTTCCGCTCTTCGAGCGGAGTACAGCACTCAACTGCCTCTCCGAATTGTTTGCGGCGTCTATTCCCAAAATTCTTAACTTCCTGCCTTCAGAACGGTACGCCTCGATCACGATGGAGGATTCTATTCAGCTTCACACTATTCATAGGCTGAGACAGACTGAGCCCCCGAAGATCTGGAGTCAGGAAGAGGATGTCTCCTGGAAATCAAAGAAGCTCACGCGGCCACGCAATCAGCGCTAGCTCACGCTCCGAGGAGCTGGATGATATTTTCCCGCTTCCGTCGAGTTTTGGGCATACCATGAGGGAGAGCTGTGTATCTGTTTTGACTTCAGTCTTCGAAGAGCGCTGACTGTGTCAGCAGCAAGTGGGTCGCGCGGCAGGAGCGGATAACCCACATTCGTCGAAGCTGTCGGGCTTCCTCTGATGTTCGAGACGATAGGTCGAGATCGAGGCGTACGTTCCGCCGATTCATCGAGGATCGTCGCCAGAAAAAAAGTCACGAGAATGCACTCACCAAAGCATGCTGAATTTTACACAGCAAAGGATGCATCACTGCCGAAATGACTGTGGATCGTTTCGCCCTGGCGCCAAACAGCAGCGTTGCGCCGGGAGAAAGTACCCGCCGGCGAAAGAACGAGCGGAGAGGATTCTGTCGTCCATCACGTTTCGGTCCAGATTTGAATTCCGGAAGTTTTTCCGGAAAGTGTCTTGCTCGCGTGATCGGGAGTTTCTGCGATTATAAAGATCGAATTCGACGACGGAGACCGTGCGGCGGGACAAAGACCGAGTTGCATAAATACTTACGCGTCACAAGTTCATCGCGCTCAACTAGATCTTCGAGCGATTCGCATCGCTTTGATCCATTTGACCGTGTATTGTGTTCGGGTAAAAGGCGGGAGCGATTCGACAAACGATTCGAATGCGCGGGGAATTCGTTTTCATCCCCGGTTTCGGCGATCGGTCCGCGTCGCTAGACTGAAGAGGGAACTAAAGATTCCGTTGAGCCAAGTCCAGCAAGCTGGAAATCCGACACTGGTCACGAGTCAACTCTATCCAGAGCTGAATTACGACATTTCATTGAAGGCTATTCGCGATTTCCTCGGATTCTCAATTTTTTCTCATTAGGATGTTGTCTCGAAATTTTGCTGCAGCTCGGCGTCCCAAGAAAATAATGGGCCTCTCTGATCGTGAGTGAACAATTGGCGATCCATCTCTTTCTTTCCAACATGAGCATTAGGGGACGACAGATTTCAAGACAATATATTTATTAACAGTACATCCTCAGGGCTCGAAGGGGCGATGAGGGTTCGGGCGAAACGAGATGAACTTCCGGATTAGTAGTTGAGCGTGCAGAACTTGAGACCGACCCAGAGTTCGGTGGCAGATCTCGGGATTTGTTGTTCCGAGAGGGTGAAGCCAATGTTTTCTCCCACGGATGAATGCGGGCCCAGCTCTATGGCGAACGAGTAGAAAATTTTGGCAGTGTCAAAAGCCCAGTCCGTCGAGGCTCCTGGTCCGTTGTAACCTAAGGAAATCCTTTCAGTTGAGATCTCATCGTTGACAGCTGGCCAATCGCTCTTGATCGTGATCGGATGAATTCGAGAGGCAAATCGAACGAGAAGGTCTCACCCATCAGCTGAGTTATGTTGCCATACTTCCACTCGCCATAGCCGCCTCTGATTTTCGAAATCTCTTTGACAGCGCCTTTGCTCAAATTCTCCAGACGACGTCTGTCTTCGGCGCTGAGTGTTGCGTTGCGGTAACCGTGAGGGAATATCCATAGCTGAGCGTACGAGTGAACCGAGAAATAAAATTGTATCCGAGTCTGACGGGATCGAGCTCTCCGAAGACCCAGGATATGGTCGCGCAGCGCTTTGGTCTCCAGTTCTGAGAAGGGTTGCGGCCCACAGTAGTCCGGACCGCACGGATCTCGCAAGTTTGGAGTCTCTGACGGATGGAAGAAGATATGAGCGACGACACCTGACGCAGATGGCAACCGCATGATGGGGAGTCCAATGAACTGTCCCCGAATTGATCCCTCGAGCAAACTCACCGCAGAAGAGGGGGGTGTCGAAGTTGCGATTCAGATCCACCCCGGTGCAATTATCTTGGCTTCCGTCGGGCTTCAGTTGATCTCTGGGTCGTTTGGATCGGTTCTTCTTCCACTTCCTGTCAACGCTCATCGAGTACGCGTAACCGTCCGGGTTCATGCACGGGAATATTCGCCATTCGAAATCGTCGATCATCCGCCGGACCTGCGAGTGAGTTCTCTCATGGTACACGAGCGATATTGGGCTAGGCAGCTCTTCCCATCAGAAACTCCCCCGGAATTTTCGATGGTTGTCTCACCCGACTCACATCTGGGTCCTTATCGTACTGGGAGACGAGATGGTGTATAATCAGAAGACAGGAGGCAGGCGCAATCCACTCACGGGCATGCAATCCACATTCGATGAACACGACAGGAGGCGCTTCTGGGTCTCGAGGATCGGGCCGGACTCTGGAGCTTATCTGTGACGTCGGGAGAAGAATTGACTTCTGTGCAAATCGACAACCCCGACCCGACGCCCGACGAGGGCCAGATTATAAGCGTTCAGGGAACCCCCGGTGGATGGAGATACTGACCAAGAGCCCCAGGAGTGGTCTCGACTCGAATGTGAAGCCCAGATTCAATAAGGTAGCGAGTTTCGATGATTCCATCACCGCCTCCAAATATCTATAAATCTGAGGAAAAAACTCGGAACGTTGCAGCAGCATAATCCTCCTGAGAGTCTCTCGCTTTAGGGATGCGTTGGGGAAAAAGGAGTCTGACCTGATCTATTCCGTGGAATCTGTTCTTCTGGAAGCCTTGGAGGAAGGGACTTTTACTTTGATTGAAGGTCGGCAGTGTGTGAAGTTCAGGTGTGGCCCAGTTCGACGAGTCGGGTGGCAAAGATGGACCGGCGGTAGATGGACTAGGCGGCACGAATATGTCTGGGTACCTGTCAGTGTCAACGGAGATACAGTACGTCTCATTCAGGCAACATTGCGTCCTGCAGAAAAAAAGAAAGAACATCGCACACTATAGATGTTCCGATAAGTGGAAAAGAAGCCACTGAGAATGCTTGATGCGAATCGAAAGTCGTTCAGGATGCTACGACATACCTGTGCGATTGATTCCCCATATGAACTAAAGTGCTAACGAGGTGAGCGGCCACGAACGTGGGGAACATATTTTCCGATTGGCCTCTTGACGTCTATTGTATTCTCATGGGTTGTGATGAGTCAATTTTTGGATTGGACAAAGATTCTCTGCGTTCGGAACTCCCTTTGGAATCATGAGGCGCAACTTGGGAAGCATTCGGTGATTATCAGCGCCGTCTCGAAGCGATGTTATGCTTCACATAATCAAAAATCTCTGTCCCGAATCAAGCCTCGGCAATGGGAGGATAGTCATTAGGAGGAGTTCATCGATCAGCGAAGATTGTGTACACCATGATTTCCTTTTCCACGTCTGCTCTGGTGTGTACGTCGCGTTCCGCTCTTTCGCCCCACAGTTAACCGAACTACGGGATTGGCGGGAGAAGCGGTTTCCCTTTGGGGTTTCAGATGTTGTCCTCCTCTGAGATTTCGGGCAGAGAGTCTCGAGAACCCATCTCTTGTGACATTGAACATGAAACATGAGAAAGTTCCACAGAAGCTCGTGTTTCCGGAAGATGCAGAGAAACAGATTCTTCGAGCAGTAAGTTTGTGATGACTGATGACGAAGCTGGAGCCGACTTCTAAACTAAATCGGAAAAACTGGAGATATTTTGAGGGGTTAAACTATTGAAGCGAGGGAGCATGCCATGCTTTTTAGCAGGATCTGAGATCATTCGCTGCGAGCCTTATTCCTGGTGCGTCAGAACGAATCGACTCAGTGACGTGTGCAGCTTCTGTATCAAGCAGAAGAAACGCCTTCAGTTCTGCGAAAAATGCTCCGTTGCCGTGTACTGCAGTGATAAATGTCAGGTGAGGACCAATCTCATGATGTCGAGGGAAGGAGAATCCTTCGGAGACCCCTCTTCGACCCGCACTAATTTAATCGGCGACTTCAACCTACCTAGGAGAATGATTACGTGAATCATCGTCTGGAATGCTCACTCCTGAGATCAGCGACCGAGAGACTAGACACTACCACACGTTTCTGTATCCGTACACTAACTCTCAAGAAACGGGAAATCTCACTCGGACGTATAACCCGTGGGGAGAAGTTCAGGAAAACACTCGCAGACCTCGTAGCGCCACTCTGGGAGGGAGACCAGGAGGACAAAGTGAGGAACGCGAAAAAAATCTTCGCTCTCATCCAGAACCGTATGAAAGTCACTCTCCGAGAAGTCCTAGTCTGCCTCCTCCAATTGCACGTACATTCGATAGCCGTCGAGGACTACAAAGGGGCTCCTCTGGGACGCGGTCTCTATTTGGATCAGACTGAATTCGATCACAGCTGCGAAGCGGAGTCGAGAGTTGGTGCTCATTTCGACGGCAAGATATTCGTGTTGCGAGCTCTCCAAAACTTCAGAGTGTGTTCTCTAGCCAAGATCCGGATGTCGTTCGTCCCGCGGAGCTTGCCTGTGATGCGCCGTCAGGAACTCCTCGCGCAGGAGTTCTATATCCAGTGTGAGTGCGCGAGCTGTTTGGCGGAGCTACAAGTGTGTCGGAGAGAAAATGCCATCGAGAGGTGTCTGCGAGATTTGCTCTCCGCTGACATTGAGATGGAGAGAAAATTCTCGCTCACGTTGGAGATCCTTCCAAAGTGCGAGGGCAGAGTTCACTCGTACTATTTATCGAAAGTATACGGGAATCTCGCCTCATTCAGCAACAGTTTGGGGCGTTACGAGGACGGTATCGAGTTCGCCGCGAAAGCTCTACAATACGAGGGAGATCTACGTCTGGTTACTGGATTGTTCGAGGAGCTCCTTTATGCGATGAACGAACTGGAGTGGAACGATTTCCGGAAGTCGAATTTCGGTCTTTTCCTCGATACTTTGCAGTCACACAAGCGGTTGCTTGAGAGCCGCTTGGGGAAAGATCACAAGGAAACCGAGAGAGTGAGCAGAGTCTACTTCTTCTATCTGACACGATCGTATGTCAGCTCCAAAATGACGTCTCTCCATGAGATGCTGCGGGAGAAGCTTAGTTTCGTGAGCGCGAGACTACTGCTCGTAGCGAGAGTTGCCATGAACGGGGAAGGCGGTGTAGCCTCCAAACGAACGAATAGCAGATGATGGCGACAGATACAAGACGAAGATGCATAAATTTGAAATTTTCACTCAACTATTCCTGCTCTACAGAAGCCCGTTTGTTTTCTGATTATATCCATCCCTGAAGATAGCTATCCCTGTTTCTTCCCCGACCCATCGAAGTCTCACGAAGTCGTGTGCATTGACTCCATCTAGTAGATTCTCAAGAGAGCCACTCGACTTCTTCGGTATGAGTATTGTTCCGAATCACCGGTCCCCGAGCTCAAAATTCTGCTGCTCTCTCTAGGTATCGACGACCCTATTCCCCCGACATCCCGATTGCCGGAAATTTCGAATGAGATCGCGCTGTTGCACTCGGGTTCTGTCCTGAGGAGAAATCTCCTCGAGAACATTTTTCACTCTTTATTCTCCCCTCAGGGCTGATTCATTGAATACGGAACGGTTCTCTTCAGAGACATTTATATTTAACGTTTATTCATTCGTCATTTTCATCGCAATTCAATTCAATAATTCATTCAAGTATTATATTACTCGTTATAATATAGACTGTATCTGCAACAAGATATTTTGACAAACATATATAAGATGTGCATCGCTACCTAGCTAGAGAATGTTGTTCAACATCCCCCGGGTGATCAAGTTCCGGTGATGAAGAGCATCCGGGCTCACTCAGATGAGAAGTTGCGTCACGTTTTTTCCCCAGTCAGAGAGCAAGGAATGAGAGGAAACACTCGACGTTATAGCGGCATCCTTTGAACAACGGGAGATCCGTCGATATTTCGATCTACGTACACTCATCTCTGTCTCTTTGAACTGCCTCTTGCTCGCCATCAGCCTCACCGCCTCCGTTTTGATGAACATCGTTCCAATCTTCGAAAGTCTAGGATGTCTCGGATACTGGAAGATACCGTCCCTCTCGACAATTCGCAGGAGGCTCGTCGTTTGCAACATAGGTTTCAGGAAACCACATGAAAAGCTGATCGTTCACACTTCTTTCGCACATTACTTCCATGCTGGCAGGAGTCCATCACTTTTCAGAATCTCGATGGTCATCTCCCATCGACCCTCACTCGGAGGCGACTCTATTGCGGGGATCACGGTCAATTTCGCGGTCGCTTGCTCCGATGTCTGAAGCTGACACTCGAGAGCATTCCGCTCAGCATTCTAGGCGAGACAATCAGCCCTTAATGGGTTCTTCTGCCCTCGCAAGGAGCGGAGTATTCACGCCGACTTTCGGATCGCAGCTGAAGTCACAGACCTGAGATCGTCGAGCTCCGGCTGCGATGCCATCCCGAGATCCAATATTTAGTACTCGCGTTCGATCGTATCTTCAATAAAATCATCGCATACATTCTACGGAGGTTCACACGATTCCAATGTGCGAAAACCTCGAAAGCTCTTCTCTCCGGAAAGAGTTTGTTACGGTGGACGTCTACTTCTTAGCGGGAGAGTGAAATAGCAAATAGACCATGGAAGATTCATGTTTTCTAATCGATCGTACTCTTGTTCGATTACCTACCATCGTTGGATATGGGTCCTTATGAGGTCTCACAATAGAACCAATCTTCAACAATACGTTGAAAGCAAATACTCGAAGACTGAAGAATTTTGGTCAGCAACATATTATTGTCAATATCAAGAGTACCTAATTTGTTTGGCAGTCGACTTAGCTGTATTTTGTCCTCGACGGATTGCGCTCCGAAATTACCGTCCAACACGAAGTGTGTTGACAAGATGTCAATCAGGGAGCAGCTCTCACGAACACGAGGAAAAACTATAAAACACTTCAGAGTGACCATCTGGTAGGAGGGGGGTGAGTCTTCCTCTGGAAAATACCTATGATAGAAGTACCGAGGGAAACCCGGTTTCAGCTCTTTGCAATGGCAGTGCGTTGTAGCTGAACTCTTCACCTGGACACCGTGTCTCCGGGTGGAAACTAAGCTTTTCCACATTTTAGTATTTCTACCCTATTTTGAACCCAACCACCCACGAACACTAGATCTCGAATCTAGTTCAGATTCGACGTTCCGTCGGCTAGGTGCAGACCTATCGAACTTTTTGCTCAATCACTTGAAACTACAAATTTCATTCAGAACCCCGCGATAAATCTAGATGTTGCAATGAGTTATCGGGATACGATCGAACGCGGAGCTTACGGGAAACTCTGGCTGTCATATCGACGCGGGAGCCAGAGCCGAGTCCTCAAGTCGGGCGAGCGAGCGTCGATGAAGGCTCAAGACTCCTCGTTGGTCAGCAAAATCCTCCAGACCGATCCTCTCAAACGAGCGATCGAAAGTCGTCGTCTCGTACTTCAAAGAAGTACTACCGTGAAGATGGTGAAAATAAAGATTACCATTAAGTTGAATTGACTAGTTTGCACACAATGTTTCCTCTCTCTAGAACGCGTCACTGTGCTCAGGCACCGCCCCCGGTCTTCACACGATTTTGTAGGAGAGTATTTGCGAGACGAAGACATAACTACGTACTTTCTACTTGACTGATTGTATATACAGAGACAGTTTTTTTTTCGTAACCAACAGAATCGAGTCTGACTAAGGTACACTTCTAACAAAACTAACGAGGCGACAGATATATGGTGAGTTCTGAATGAACATCGGGGACCTCCGCACGGGTACGTCAGCTTCAAACCTATGCGTTTCCGTGCATCGTACCGACGCACGGAAACATACCGGTTCCGGAATATGTATACTTTTGTATATGGATTGAACTCGTGTTTTCGTTCCATCAACTCCTGTTGATCCACATCAGTTCGCCATGGTCGCCACCAGACTTCGCGCTCAGTTTAGGAAATCGGAGCTGATATCCAAAAGAGTCTGAATACAGGTCTCCGTCACGGTTTTCTTTTCTCTTCTATTTGAAGAGCTATCTGAAGTTTACACCCATTGTCTTCTGGTTTTTTTTCTCTGATGCATGCTAGCCAGCACAATGCACAGTTTGTACAAAAAATATATACAAGGATATCGCACGCGACTCCCATCTTGAATAAGTTCCTTATAAATAAAATTGAGATGAATTTCGACGAGAAACACTCGCCGGACTGTCTCCGTCCTCCAACCGACTGACTGACCGGCTGTAGCTGGCTGAGAGATCCGAGTTTTCGTCAGGATACTCGATCAGCTCATTGATTTGCACCACCGAGTCTGGCGATGCAGGCGCCGGAGTTCAGTAGGAAGGGTACGTAAAACATCTTGCTCTTCATGAGGAGATCAGCAGCCCCCTCGACGAGTCGCGAAAGCCCAAGCAAATAATCTAACCGGATAGGCTGCGATGACTTCGTATGAGATAAGTGAGTTCTCAGAGCTCCCAAGTAGCGATCTTTGATGGGCGTCAGCGCACTCTGAGAATCATCTGCGTTCGAAGAAATAGATCTAGTCAGCATCTTCCTGGATTCACGAGGGGGAAAATCGATTCCTCGACCGCCAGAATGACGAGATCTTCAGTATATCCATGAGAGAGCAAACTTACCGTGATTGAGCATGAGGAGCACCTTGAGGCAAACGTATTCCTCCATTGTGACTTCACCCCGTCTTAAGCAGAGTGCCAGTCGAGTTAATTTATCCACGAGCTCCCCTGCCTCCTGCTCGAGTTGTTCCATGCCTGCAACGAGGGCAAACACCTTGTTCCGGAAAACTGGCCACGAGGTCCAACCGATCATCCTCAAATAGCACGATCCCTATATCCTGACGGGCCCAAGGGCAATGCGAGCGATCCGTCATGGACTCAGATCTATGAACTCACCTATATGGCGTCCCATAAGAGCCGTAAGACTTCCTTGCAAATCGTGCAGGGCGGCTTTGACTTCACTGTCCTCTGCACTGGGATCGGACACTCCGTGACTTTGCGGACACCTTGGTGGCAGACGCATCGACTGGTAAGCTGCAGTTGTTAGCACCAAGAGTTGATGCCATTTGTGAGTGAGCAACTGGAAATAAATGCTCTCTCGTTACAACGACGTTCTGAAATCCGATGTCATTCTGCTCCCGTGAACTTTCTATGGATATTTCACACAGCCATAAATAATCGCGTTCGATAATGATTCGTCTATCCCCTTCATTCACTCATGAATCCCCGATAATTTTCTACGCGAAAATATCTAAATTGCTCATGCATGACGGAACTGATTACGACATGATCTCCGGAGCGCCCATTCTTTAATTGATTCGTGTTCGTTCAATATGTTCCCGGTTTTCGGACGATGCAAAGATCGACGTACACTCAGTGATTGACTCGGACCGATGGGATTTTGACTTCACGATGGACGTTCGAGATCCAGAGAATTCTGAACTCGGCATGCTGTCCGCACGGTCATCCAGTCGATGATAATGTTCGATAGTTCTGGTGCCCTGCATATTCGTCAATGACGGGCAAGTCGTACGAATCGCTCGCCTGACTCAAGATCGTCACCGTGATTCGTTGCCACCCGTGTTACTAATGTTATAGCTGTGGCCGCCGATGGCCTTGCTGGGGCATCGCCCCGACGCCCCGTTACTGGGTCAACCAACGGATAGAGCTGCGCTTTCTCTGCCTGCCTTCCTGTCGACTGCCTAGCTGAGTGGATGCCGGCCTGACTGGAAGCCGGCGTCGAACATTCGCAGCTTCATTCTTTCCTCGCGCGCTTAGTCGGTGCTCAACGTTGGTGCGGCGACATCTACCTTCAGCCCGACGTAATAAAGGGTCATAATGAAACTGTGATCTCTGTATCATCGGCCGAAATATCCTGCAGCTGGCAGCTAAAGTCCGGAAGGTTTTCGGTATTCACCCGGAGTTCCTTCCGCCTTCGAATTCGATTCAATCTGGATATGGATCCGGGAGGAATCGATTGGAGATTCGGATGGCTCCAAGGATGGAACTCATGAGAACACGGAGCGTCGATGAAAACGCAGACCCAGAGGAGCTCCGCAGAGACTGTCTCAGTTCCGGAGAGTTCGATCGAGAACGAGACAGGAGACTCAGGGTATATAATCCTCGGATGGGCCTCGGGAAATGTTCATTGTTTTTTCAGAAGATCATCCCTATATTGGCAATCAGTCGACTCGCGCTGATATTGTGTTCGATGATGAGCTTCATCATCGGGGCAGAAGCGGCACCAGCAAGACCACCATCACCATTCTCGTTATCATCATTGAACTGTGGGTTTGTTTCGCTTCATCCGCCGGGATTCTGACCCTGACGCCGACGAAGTCCTTGAAAGTTCGTTCCTCTCAAGACCTTCGGCTGACGGACTTCAGCAGTGACGGCTAGACTGCGAAACGTCAAAGCACATAGCCGTTTGTTGTTGAAGGGTTCAGCTCAAACGTCAACTGCAAGCGATTTCACAGGTCAATGCATGATGATTACGTTCGAATATTTCTCATTGATGAGAGAGGAATTCTCGAACCGCAATCCCCACCGGAAACCATGCTCAAGACTTGGGAGCTATCGAGTGGTCTCGGTCATTCCCCGAGAGCGTTGGAGTGGCCAAGGGTTGACCGCGTATACCTCTTCCCCTCACACCGGGCTTCGATGGATACCTCGGACTTTCGGAGCCATTATTTCTCGATGATTCTTCGCCGAGGAACCGTGAACTTCGGAACAGTTCCATCGTTGATCAGACGATTGTACGGCATTGTGTATAATCGCATCAGCGATTCGATTATTAATCATGCAGAGGAAGAGTCATGTCCTAATCGGCAGAATCGCTCCACGTTTAAACATGTGACTGATCGAAACAAAATAGCTTGAGCGGGTCGCTTTCAAAATAGCAGGTAACTGAGCACGAGGGCCTTGAGGGTGCATTGCCCTGTTGGCTGACTGACTGACTGCCTCACGGAGCCTCTCACTGACCCACATTTGAGACCCAGAAGGCACGCGGCGGGACCACAGCCAAAGAGCCACTGGAGATATGCGCAGGCTTCTGTGGACAGTTGGCAGATGTGTGTCAAACCTAGGACTGCCTAGCTCAGATTTCGAGCGGTAAGATTGAGCATCAGTATCTCCGATGGGGGAGGAATTTTTTCCCGGGAAGATTCCCGGGGATCATTCCCGGAGATCACGCGGAAGATCTCTTAACGGATTTCCCTGGAGAAGCGGCTGGCCTTCGAGGTCTATCGAACACGGGAGGATCGTATGATATCGGATCGATTTTCCCTGCCCTTCAATCAGACAAGCCAGTGAAATATACGTGATGGTTCCTGAGAACTACGGAACGATCATCGCGAGGCCCGTGCCACCCTCTGGCAAACGACATTCGTCCATGAAAGTGCGTTGCCCCTGCCAGTGGTTGACCCACATAAAGCACAGCGCGCCGGCAGTCGTAGTAGTAGCAGCCCCGTCAACAACAACAACGACGACGACGACAGCAACAGCAGCTTCAACGACAGAGCTGCTGGCAGGAGCAGCAGCAACGACAACAGTGGTTTAATGCTGCTTCAGAATCCTTATAATGGCCACAAGTGCTGCTGCATCCGCACTGCCGCACTAAGAGACCTAACGGTTTTCTGTAGGAACGACGTATGTACATATGTAGATCCTTCAACACACTCTTCAGCACCTCAGGCCCCCCGTGGTTTGCAGTTTCATGTTCCTCATGCGACTTCGGGAAGACAGGATTCTCGAGGTGGAAATTTCAGGATGGGGGTGAAAAAGATTTCTTCCCATGGGAGTGGATGGGTACACATTCTTCTCTTCGGCAGGCGGGCAGGTGTGTAGATAGATGGGAACGTACGCCGATGAGATCTTCTGTACACGTGCCAATCCGCTCACGTGTCGATTCATCATTCGGTAGCCTTCAGTCGAGAGCTAAGTTTTGCCACGGAATGACTTCGATTCAAGTAGCAGCAACGGCAGCAGAAAAAGTAAGCGTTGCAAAGAAAGTGCTAAACATTGCCAGCCGGGCAGGCACTCACCGGCACTGAACATGGCCGACAGCGTTTTGTTTGACATCGTCACCCTCCGTCATTGATTCAGGGTCTGAACCTTGGCAGGGCGATGCCCCTACCAGCTGAGTCGGAGCCTTCAGTCAGTCACCAGAAGGTCATCATCGTTGCCGAAGTGAAATTTACCGCGGCTACCGCCGTTGTTGTTGTCGCCGATATCGCCGCTGCCGCCGCCGCCGTAGCTTGCCCCCCAGCTGGTCTTAAGAATCGGGAGTTCGGGTGGTCGATGGCGGAGCAACGGAGCGTTGAATAAAACCATCGACCGCCCGTCCGTCCGCCCTCCTGGCCGCCCGTTGGTTAGAATAGTCAACAGACGGCGCGGCGGCGACGAACACGTTCCCGGGATTTGCTAGATGCCAGTCATTCAGTCAGATTGGCTGGCTGACTGACTGACTGGCTGCATGGCGTTAACGGACGTTTCTTCTAGTGACCCAGTGGCCCAGTGGGACGCGGAAGTTTCTGCCAAACCAGCAGCTCCACGACTAGCGGGAGCCGCGGCTCCACTAAGGCTGCGTGGTCCAGATCCGATTCTGGAACAGCGAGCAAGCGAGTCAAGCCGGCAAGGAATGGAGGAAGTGAAGACCCCTGAAGGAAAAGGAAGCCGACGACTGACGCTATGGAAGAAGAACGAATCGAACGGCTGACTGACCGACCCGTCCAACGAGCGGGCGGGCAAGTCGGCTAGCTAGCTAGCTGGAAACCAACCAAACACAGACAATGTCATGCGACCAAGAGAAAGGCCCCAATGACCCCGATGACCGAAAAAGCTCCGTTCAGTGTTCGGAGGGTCATCATCCATATCGACCGCCCACGCTCTGAGGGAACGGTGCCGAAACTGACGGCCTATCTGTCTGTCGGACGTTCGGTCGGATACACCGTCGTCTCACTAACTGGTCTCAAGTCGGTCAGTCAGTCAGTCCACGAAATAAGCGTGACAAAACGTCGGATTCTGTCCCTTCCGATCGCGGAGCCAGAACCCGAGCCGTCTCAATGAGAAACACTGGTAACAACGGTTACGCCCACGTTCGCGTCAGCGCAACCTGTTCTCTATGCGTGCTTTCGAAATCGATTGATATGTCTCTCCAGAGCCGCAATCCCGACTCCGAGCGACTTCTGGGTGACGTGTCGAGACCCGCCGGGGCCCTAAGAAGGAAAAAGAACTCACCTGAGTGTGAACGGCGAGAGGGATCTCCTGATAGAAGGGTAGCCGTTTGGTCCATTGCACTAACTTATAAACGATATTATCCCCGATCTCGCACAACTTGTCCGGCAGCTCGTGGCCGCCTTTGTCGGTGAGGAGGTCCTCCATGTTGTTGAGTGTGGCCACATCTTCGAAATCATCGCAGTCGATGAGGTCCCTTATCAATCGCAGGGCGTCTGCAGGTGTCAGAGGAACACGAACCGCAGGAACTTTTGACGTAGGGCTGTCTTTGCTGCTGGTGACTTCGATAGCTGGCCGAACAGGTTGTTGTTGTCTGAGATGTAATACTTGATTTGGAGACGTGAGAGCTGTCTTGAGAATACCCCCGGCAACTGGAGCTGCCGCGGTCGCTGTCGGTACTGCTACTGTCGTCACGGGACTGGGACTCTGGGCCCATTCGATTGCTTTGGGAGAAACGGCTGGAGGAAGCATTGTTTGCCTGTCTCGGAAGGTTGGAAGGGGTTAGTGTGGCGCGTGGGTGGCGCGCGGGACGATACCCGACTTTCGAGAGACAACACCAGAACTCACGAAATTCCGTTGGGACTCGGTGTCTGGGGCGCGAGAAGCTTTGGTTGACTTCCATTCGTGATGGCCGTGTTGGGAACGTTGCCACCTTTCTTCTTATGCTTTTTGTACTTGACTTTGTACAGGTTGTAGACTGCTCCGGAATTCCGGCCACCTGGCATGCGGTCCTCACGAACGGCTGCAGGGAGGGAGAATAACGGGACGACGTTAAGACGAGCATTTCGGGAACTGACGAAAGCCGGAGCCTAAACTCCTGGGACTAGCAGCAAGTTTCGCATCTTGACTGTGGAATTCAGGCCACAACGCAACGTCCTCGTCTTCGAATCGAAGGATGAAAATCAATGAGAAGATAGACTGATAAACGAGGGACATCCTTGGGAGGCTGTTGCACCCTGGCTACCGAAGACCGCTTGCATCACGGACAGGTACTTTGTATCTACAGAAGTGCGCCCGCGCGGCTCAAGCCAAGGTCACGCTTATGCAGTCAACGCTGACAGCTTCGACCGATTTCTCTGCCGTTCGGAACTCATGCGCCTGACTCATTCCGATTCTCGGGACTCTTCGCGAGAGCTCAGGCGCTCATTTTCAATGATTGAGTGGCTTTTTCTTTCACTCGGTCAAAGAGTCGCCGCATCTCAGGATGGGAACGGTATGTCGAAGATGGTCGAGAACTTCACACATAGATCATATGGATGGCTTTCCGAAATGAATGGAATTCGAGCTCGCGCTTCATTGGCGACGAAGTTGGGAGGAACTAGACTACGGCAAATGTTCTGTGACCAAGTGACGGCAGCCAAGAAAAGCACCGCCTGACGCGAACCGCGAATCGAGGTCACGGCAGACGCTTCGGTTCCGGCTCTCTTCCTGGACTTCCATCGGCGGCGGCGGGGACTGAAACGCTTTGGTCTATTCGTTCTTCGTTGGCTCCTTCGCTCACTCGCTTGTTCGACCTACCAAAAGAGCGACCGACGCACCGAGCGAGCGAGCAAGCAAGCAAGCGAGCATCCAAGTGAATACATGGACGGACGAACGCTTCCAGATATGCTGGCCACCTTCCGCCTTTGTGTTCTGACATTATTAGCGTGCCCCTTGTCGAAGCGTTGAAGTGCTAGTCTAGTTCCCTTGAAATTCCGTAAATTGAAGCAATCGAACTCACCAGCAAGAACCATTCCCTGTAGGAGACATTTCTGGAAGCGGCAGTACTGGCAACGGTTCCTCTGGGCCTTGTTGATTTCGCAGTTCCCCTCGGCTACACAGGTGTACACACGTTTGTTTTGCACTGTTCGTTTGAAGAAACCCTTGCATCTGAATGGAGAAGCGACGAGGATTAGAGATCTTCGCTTCATCCGACAACCCCAACCGAGCTCGTCGAGGAGCCCATCCGAGTCCGCCAGAGATCGACTCCGACTGACTAGGAGTCTCGACCCGCTCCATGGAAGGTCCCGTTCGAGCCGAACCCTCAAGAATCCAGGATGATCGGTCGCCTTCGTCCCGTTTGACCAGGATGCCGGACTGCGGATCGATGATGGACGTAGATCCCTCGCGCGGAGCGCCCTACTCACCCCTCGCATGTGATGATGCCGTAGTGGAGTCCCGTCGCTTTGTCTTCGCAGATCATGCAGATCATGGGCTGATCATCTTCCTCGTCTGTCTCCTCCTTGCCTGGTTCCTTCGGGGACGTCAAATTCAGAGCCGAATCGGCTGACGCCGGTTCGGGAGGCCATTGTGTCCGGTAGGGCGTAACCTGCAAATTGGGATTCCGCTTTTGAACAGAGTCCGAGATCTCGATATTCGAGCCTTTAGCACCTCGGAAAATAAGAATTCCGAGAAATAATTGTCTACGGCGAGAAATCGCCCACTCGGAAGAAAAAAACGAATCTGGCAGCTCAGGAAGTAGAAACTTCCTAGAATCCAGACACCGAGCGGTAAAATCGAAATTGAACGAACCTCATTCGATAAAGGTGAAGTAGAAGCGGGCCGCTGTTGAGTTGAGAATATGACAATGTCGGTCGACGGGTAGGGACTCGCTCGGTGTGAGCCGGCCGGAGACGGCGATAGCATCGGGTAGGGGGGGCTGTACCTCCGAGGGTACGCTGCCCTCTGCTGGGATGGAGGGTAACGTACCCGATCGCCCATCAGCTGCGATTGGAGACGAGACATCTGAGGTGAGCCCGGCGAGCCAGGATGTGCGAGACCAGGCGATGCGAGTCGGTCCTGGAGTCGGTCCGCCAGGATCGGCTGACCCTGGAGGCGCGACTGGAGCTCTACGTCGGTCGTCAGCACGTCCTGACTCTCCATTTTCCTTGCCCGCTGCTCATGGAGCGACGGCGATTTCGAGGGGGATCGCGTCGGGCTCCGTTTAACTACAGTCGTTGCACTAGTTGATTGCCAAGGAGGACCGTTGCCGTTGTAGAGCTCAGTGGGTGTGGGCTGATTCGTAGCCACACCGGCATTGCCCCCATTCACCTGCTGGCGGTAATGCGACATGAGGCGCAGCAGAGCCAGACTGTGTTCCGATTCAGCGCCCCCTCCGAGGGGGGATTTGGGCGCATCGGCGGGTCTGACAAAGGCGCTCTTCGATGCCTCCCACTGAAGGTTCTGCGACGGTGCCGAGGGAGCTCTGTAGATCGGACTGGAGCGATCCTTGGTCGTCGGACTCGACGCGGCGGATCGACACGGTCGCATGAGAGAAGCCTCGAGAATACCTTTCTTTGGCACATCGGGCCGCAGTCCATTCGCGATCTCAGTGGCGATTTCGGCGAGTCCGTCCAGGCCGCTTCGCGCAGCGGTTTCCTTCGCCGGCCGAGCGTCTTGATGGGTGAAATCATTGTTGGGATGATTTGGATGCTGACCGGGACTCCGGAGGATCTTGTCCGATGCCGAAGACGTCTCCGATCCTGCGGGACTGCTCACGAGGGTCGAGGCCGTCTCCGGTGTCTGGGGCGAGTTCGAACTCGAGCCCTCCGACTCACTCAAGTCGCTGCTCGTCGTGGTACCGTTTGTCCTCGTCGCGAGGTTTCCATTAGCGTCGCCCTCTTCCCTTCGGGTCACCTTGATCATGGGAATGAGTTTCGCGGGTCCATTGGTCAGGGCCTCCTCGAGAATGGTTCTCGATTGTTTGACAGCCTGTCCCGTGGTGGTTTCCATTTTCGGGACTTTCGACGAAGGCTGATCGAAGTTGTCGTCGCTTTCGAACTTCTGCACCATTTTCTCCGAGAACTCCGAAAGCGGCTCTCCTGGTGAGGTGCTCCTGGGCGGGCTGGAGCCCTCTGTCGATGTCGAGCCTTCGCCATCGCTCGAGGTGCGCGAATCCACCTTCCTTCGCTTGAGCTTGATGTCGTGAAAAAGGCTCATTTTAGGGGCCAGACTCGCTCCGGCCCTCAACTTTGCCTCCAGCAACGCGTTGGGGCTTACGGCGTAGCCTTCCGACTCGGCCAGGGTGTACAGATGGGGATGATGATGCAACAGATGATGATGATGAGGATGCGTGTGATGATCGAGAGGACTCTCTTCCTCCGACGAAGGCGGCGTCAACCGTCCCGGGCTGAGAGCGCTCAGATAATCGCGGGCGGCCTTCGATTTGAAGTGCGGTATACAGGTTGACACACTTCCTGGCGACGGCGGCGGCGGCACTGTCTGAGCCGTTACGGAAGACGACTTGCCGTCCTTGCTCTTGCTTTTCTGCTTAGGCGGCTTGGCAGGTTGGGGACTTAAGGATGGCGAGGAAGGCCGCGGTTGCGGTGTCACGATCAACATAGTTTACCTGGAATCCAAATAAAGTATTCGGTGAGACCGCTGCTGGACGTGAATGAGCCGCCCTACGTCTTTGTTGTCGTCCGCACAACTCGAACAAATCTGTCCGTCCTCCGGAATACCTATCCGCGCATCATGTGAGCTCTGGGTCAATGGCATCGAGTCTTCGAGGAATCCTATTCGAAGTACTATATGTCCCACAATAGCATTTCACTGTTAGCTATAAATAAACTGAGCCCTCGGCGGACATTTACACGAGAAATCCGCAGAATCCACGAGCGGGCGCGCTCTCGTTCGTTCGTTCGTTCGTTTTCTTGCCTGATCGGGCGGGTTCGGTGACCGCGGGCTCACACGCCTAGGTCTGCCGTGGCCGCCGCCGCCGCTGCGAGATGAGAACATTATTCAGTTCTCTAAAGGGTCGCGGATCCGCTTCGGAGAACCGAAGAGGGAGAGCAACAGAAGAAGGAAACGAAGAGGCCGTGCTGAAGAAGCCAGAAGGGCAGGCCGACAGGCAGCCAGCAAGCCAGGCCGGTCGGCCGGCGAGCTGCCAGCTAGGCAGTTAGTCAGGCACGGATGTCGGGAGGCCCCAGGTTCAATAGCCTAGCCTAACCCAGATCTTTTACGTGACCTTCAGAAGGACATTCACCTCCCAACCGAAAAGCGCTCGACCGCTGCTGGTGCCGCGCTCGTTTCTTATGAGAAAAACTCGTCCAACGGAAACACTGACTCTAGATGTGTTGAAATAGCCATCAACGTCGACAGCAGTTTCGTCGTAGCCGAGATGTGTTCGAGAATAATGGAGGAGGAGAGAGAGAGAAATCTTGCTTCAGAGGATTCACCAGCCTCCCGATTTCGGCGCGCGGGCGTATCCCATCGTTGTGGCGCAATTAAACTCTGCGTCCGAGCGAATGTATCTGTACTCGACCAGAGGCCACCCATTGCGTAACGGTATGAGAAAGCCAATCATCGAGTCAGTTCAGGACGTCCCCCAGGTTTCGACCTAGAATCGTCTTCTTTCTTTTCTCTCAATCGCATCGCTACAGAGTCGGATCGACGGAATAGCTGCCGATTCGTGAATGTCTCGAGAGGCTGTTTCACGTTTCGAAGCCCAAGCAAGACGCGTGAGTGTCTAAAATAGAACTCGCTCCCTCTCATTCGAATGTCATAATAGTACCCGCAGAAACTTCAGAGAAACCCTGACCCAGTCGATGGTCGCTGAACTCGGCTTAGAATTGAGGTCGCGTATCCTGCTCTGAGATTCTCTTGCACTCTCGGTCGCAGCGGTGGCTCTCGCAAAAAAAGTGACTCTCTCCGATTCTATCTCGATCGCTCTTGAACTAACGGGACCTCTCACAGACAGACGGAGAGAGAGAAATTCCATAAGACAAGTGTCTGGATTTGGCCTAGCGATTGGTGAGCTCGACGAGAGACCTCTCACCACAGTCAGCGAGATCGATACGAGGCATTGTACAAATCCTTTGACCGATCTTGCATCAGGCACAACTCCAATGAGAGTTCTGTTGATCTCGATAGAATGGAGGGAACGCTTTGAGGGTTCACGACAATTTACATTCGACTCGGGCATCAGCAGGGAGTTTCCGGAATTATTGATTTTCGTATGGGAGATTCACCAATCAATGCTCTGCGCAGCTTGTCCGTCTCAGTCAGATTGGGAGTTCTGGCCCATCGATCGATTCGAGGCCTTTCCTTCCTATTCACGTTTTTCTTTCGAAAAAGAGCTGTGACTCCGATCGATCGATTGCTTGGATCCGCTCACGAAGATTCACCTCGAGATTCGGGGGAACCGTTATGTAAAGCCGGAGATTGGTTAACCCCCTCTGAATGTTAACGGCAACTTTCTTGCAGGCGGTGTCTGGGTCACTCGGTTTCAGAAAAAAAAATGCAGGAAGCCAATGCCATGCGATGCGGCCTCTCGAGCGAAAGCCTTACCAGTCAGTCGGTCGGCCAATCAGCTAGCGAGCCGGCTAACCAGTCACTCATGGCTCCGAGCTTCAATGAGCGTAGCCAACAGTGCAGGTGTCACGAGCGACCGCGAGCATCAGCAACTTCTCGTCGCAGAAGTCGCGCGCGCCCGAATATTCATCTCTCGGGGCCTGGCGAGGGGTGATCTTCTGGATCCGAGATCGAGCAAATCTTCTCCCCTCCTCGGCCCCCTTGAGTTTCCGGGACTTCAATCCGAGAACGGAGGAGAAATTTTCTATCCCCACCCTGTCGTTCCCTTGACAGCCCGACCGAAAATTTCCGTTACGCTCGCGCCTGCTAACAATCGCTCAAGAGATCTCTGGAGTCGCAGGCAAGTTCTCGGAACCGACCCGACGGTCCGTCGGAGACCCTTTATATCAATTGAGTGTCGTGGATTAGATAATCGGGTCAACGTACGATTTTTAGAGAATTGTATTATCCGGAGAGAGTTGAGATTCACACCCCGAAGGGCTTAGACGCCGGATCACTGAACTTAATCCAATCGGCACCGCAAGTGTCTCAGAGAACACTGTACATCGAGTTCATGTTGGAAATCGCTCGCGACGGCGAAAGAAGCATCAACGGTGGCAGCAGGTGCGGCGACCGAGACAACGACACTTCCTTCGACGAAAATAAAAATAATCAGATTGAATAAAAATAAATGTCACTCGGAGTCACTTCCACAGAAAGCGACGGGAAGAGCCCGACGCGTGCATTGTAGCCGTCACAAACACAGACTGACAGAGCGTCGGGACCAGAGCCTGGACGCCGGGTCGCTCCCGGCTCACAAGTGAGGGATGAATGGAGGAAGGGAAAGCGTTGGCGACGACTGTACCGGTTCTGCAAGCAACCAGCCAGCCAGCCAGTCAGTCAGTCAGCCAAGCCGGCCCTCTTGCCAACCGAAAGACCGACCGAGCAGCACTTCAGCAACCGGCACACCGAATGAAAGTGTTTCCCGGGACAGAATCCGCGTTTCTGGGGCAAAACAAAAACATCCAAACCCCACTTCCACTCGCTTCGGAAATATACGACATCCTCCCAATCGGTCAACACGGCGTACTTATCAGTAGATACGCGTCGGATACGCCTCATACCTTCCGCTTTCGGAAGAGGCAAATAGTTAAGATACCTCACAATAATAATTTCCCCGCTAACCAGCGGGCTTTGGAAGCCGGAACCGAAATCTCGACCGGTGAAGGGAAAAATTCCGGTTCGCTCGTAAGGAGCGCCCGATGAGTTGCCAGTTCGGGAAGTTACGACAGAGGTCACTATCATGTCGCGTTGTAGACGAGGAAAACCTCGGAGGACGAACAATATGTATTTCTTCTCGCACAGCTTCTCTCGATTCGCGCTCCCTATGATCTGATCGTCGGATGGAAGAACTTCGACTCGAGCACACGAGCGATCTTCTATCGTGTCCGACTAGGGGCCGCTCCCATGAAAGCGAAAGTTTCTAGATCAGCTAATCTAGTCCAAGCGGACGAGCCGCTGCGAAGAACTGGGTTTGCTGTAACCGGAAAACGTCACGGGGCCGTTGAAGGGAAAGTGGATTCTGGATCTCCGGATGATGACGACGCCGACGAACCGACAGATAGACAGACGACAGAAAAGCTGCCGCGGGCCGGGATCCAGCATGTTGCCGAGCGGCGCAGGCAGCGGCCGAAACAGCAAACCCAAACAAATATGCTTCCTTCACTTCCTGAACGCTGCATTTGGGTTAGGGCCAGCTTACCGGCCGGCGGATCCACCCGGAGATGGGCCGTGGTCTGTTAGCTAATTGTTGTTGGCGATGACGTTGTTCTTGTCGCCGATGATTGTCGGCAGCCGGAAGATGACCGCGACTCCATCGAATTATTTTCTATTACTGGGCTCACCGACCATTCGAAGGAGCACCTGAGCCGTCGAGATAAACGAGTTTGCCTCAGGGTAATCATTCAGAACCTTAAGGAGCAGTGACTTTCGCTTTGTAGTGCACAATTACGGAAATATTGTCGCCGAGAAATCTACCCGAATCGGCTATGAGTCCGAATTTCGACGGAACTGATCAGAAATAGAAATTGGAGTCGAGAAGACGATCCACAGATTTGAGGCGCCTCGTCAGCTGCTCGACCAAAGCTCCAGCTCCAGCCAGTGCACGTTTTGTGCCTTGCTCCGGCGCGAGCTCCTCACCGCAACCTATCCGATTCACGTGGCAGACCAAATCACCAAATTAAAGGGACTTCACGGGGAGCTATATTTCCTCCTTCAAGGTGTTCGAACGAAGCAACGTCAGAGTTCACCAGCCTGAATTCGGTATTGGCTCGACGGAAATTCTGGAGGCACCTGGAGCATGGGTGCGCGACCCACTGTTACAGGAAGATTTCGGATTCTGACCCTTCGATTTTCCGGCGTTTCGAGGAAAAACATCTCAAAGGAATTCTGATGGTGACCTACTTGTTAGTTCACGGGTTTGCTCGCGGATCACTTCCGCCGAAGTGGTGAGGAATACGCTTTCGAGAATAATAACGTACCGAGTCGTGTACTTCGCCGGACATCCAACAACATTTCTCAAATATCCTTCAGTCACTGGAGCTACTAGAGTGTACTTTTCCACCAAACGAACTTCTAAACAAAAGTCTGTTTAGAGTCCACTTTGACACTTAACTCGAAACTTCCGCGCACCCTTCAACCGTAAGAAAACGCAACACCAGACCCGGGTT